TTTTTATATTGGGATAACATGGGTTTATATTACCATATGTCATTCAGAGGTACAGGATCACACTGTTAGATGCAGGGCTCACCACACCCACCACCAAGAAACCCACAGTTCTCCATCATAGTCCGTGGGGCCCTCTCCCCTCGCCCTCTGGTAGCTTCAATTCTATAGTGAGATTTCTAAAATATATTATTGGTGTGTTGTTTCTCTATATTCCACATATAAGTGAAACTAACAGTGTTTGTCTTTCCAAATGCTTAATCTATTTTTAAAATTTTATAAATTAAAAAAAAATTGGAAACGTTACAGTTTGGATGGCTCTTATTCAGCCAGGAATTGTGGAGGAAGATCCTACAATTAGCAATAGCCAAAGTTTTGACTAAGTTCCAAAAAGAGTTGTTAACACTGAACTTACTCTGCGTCAGTAGCTGGCTGTGGATAAGGAAACTAAAAGAGGCCAGCCTCACTGACTTCAGGAAAAGCTTCTAGAAGAACATACCATCCATTGGCCTGGTATTTTGTGCACAGAACATCCCAGTCGAGGCTTAATCCTTTAGCAGAGGTCCACAAGATATACATCATGATAAACTGGCAAGAGTTAAAGGGCCCATCCTATCTCTGTTAAATCAGAATCCTGGAAGCACAGCTTTGAAGTGCATATTTTAAAGACATTGTCCAAATGGATAAGGAGCCATCATTTTACAAAATGATAAATATGATATCTAGTAAGTATCTAAATTTAGGATCTGCGGGGAGTGTGGGCTTCTTGGTAACTATGGTATCAAAATGGAAGACTGGCACAAGAAGTTTTTTTTTTTAAATATTTATTTGTTTGTGCATACAGAACTGGGGTACAGGTCAGAGACTCAGGGGTGGCGAAAGACTTCACCAGAGACAGAATGGGGTGCAGAACAGGCAGATCGACAAAGTATACTGCTGAGGGGAGCAGCGGGCGGGTCAGGAGAGGTCTGCCACACCATGTGGTCACCTCCAGGCAGGCAGGAATGAACTCATGCAGAAGTGGTTTCAGCTTCTTAGTGCAGTGCTTTAACGCTGCGCCACCAGGGAGGGCCGCAAGAAAAGTTTTTTTTTAAATCACCTCAGAGGAGTGGATGGGACTGTGGGGACTCCTTAGTTAGAGTTAATGTTTGGGTGACAAAGTCTAAGGAACTTCTTCACTTTCAGATTGCCCCTGAGACCTTGGCTTCCCCTCAGGCAGACACTGTCTCAGGAGCCAAGTGGACCTACCAAGAAAGCCACAATACTGACACTCTCCTTCTTCCTCCTTTTAGCCTTTCAGTGTTATGATGTACCCCGCTGGTCCTGGATCTGGTGACTCCCCAGAGGGCTTCCCTGAACAGCCCAGACTCCAGCCACAAATTGGAAATCGCACTGCTCAGACACTGGGTACTAAAATTGGGAATAGTATACGGTCCTTCCTTCTTCAGATCATAGTTGGGACAGAAGATTGAAGGTGGGGGCTGGGAGAAAAAGGCAGTGAGGCCTCTTGTAGCACGGAATTGATGGAAGAGCTGGCCTCCATGGAGCGACACATGCTTTGTGCGCAAAGGTTGAGCCCCCGCTGAGTGACTGGCACCAAAGGGTGCACTTGAGCCATACATCCATGGAAATCAACCAGCCAAGGAGACTTGGTCCCTGTGAACCAAGTTTGTGAACGGTTTGTTTTTTCCCCTTACCAATGGGGCACCCCTTCTTTTTCCAGATTAGGAAAAAGTGGGTTCATTTGGAACAAGATGGGAAAGGGGACAAAAATCGTATGTGCTGACGCAAGATATGGCCTCAACTTGTGGCCCAGAATCTGGGGAATACAGTAGAGAAAAGTTGGGGTGACGGAGAGGGAGGGGGGTGTAAGGGGAGTGGAGGGGGTGGGTTGAAGGAGTTGGAGAGGAAGAGGGGGAAGCTCGTGCTCTCCCCAATCTGGACTGAGGAGAGATCATAGCAGCCAGAGGGCTTGGGTGAAGCCTTAAGGAAAGTCCAGCCCTCGTTGTTCAGATGAGCAAACAGATTGAAGCGAGGACATTGAAGCGAGGCAGGCGAGGTGGGCATCTAGTTAATAGCACGATGGAAATAAAACTCTTTAGACCTGGAGTAATACTATGGAGCCTCCAGCGAGCCGCTTAATTTCAAACCCCAGCGCTTGGCCCGCCGTGGGGCGCTCGGCCCCGCTTGTTGTCAAGGGAACCGCGTCCCCGCCCCCGCGGGTCCGGCGTGACCCGAGCTCTCAATAAAGTTGTTGTTGAAGCGTCGTTGTGCCACGTGAGCCGGCCGGAGGCCGGCGCGGG